TCTATCTATCTATCTATCTATCTATCTATCTGTCTGTCTATATATCTATCTATCCAGTATCTATCTATCTATCTATCTATCTATCTATCTATCTATCTATCTATCTATCTATCTATCTATATGTCTATCTATCTATCTATCTATCTATCTGTCTGTCTATCTATCTATCTATCTATCTATCTGTCTATCTATCTGTCTATCTATCTGTCTATTTGTCTATCTATCTATCTATCTATCTATCTATCTATCTATCTGTTTGTCTATCTATCTATCTGTCTGTCTATCTATCTATCTATCTATCTATCTACCTGTCTATCTATATGTCTATCTATCTATCTATCTATCTATCTATCTATCTATCTATCTATCTATCTGTATATCTATCTATCTATCTATAATCTATCTATCTATCTGTCTATCTCTCTATCTCTCTATCTATCTATCTATCTATCTATCTATCGGTCTATCTATCTATCTGTCATCTATGTATCTATCTATCTATAATCTATCTCTCTCTCTATCTATCTATCTATCTATTTGTCTATCTATCTATCTGTTTGTCTATCTGTCATCTATGTATCTATCTATCTATAATCTATCTATCTCTCTATCCATCTATCTATCTATCTATCTATCTATCTATCTATCTATCGATCTATCTGTATATCTATCTATCTATCTATCTATCTATCTATCTATCTATCTATCTATCTGTCTATCCATCTATCTATCTATCTATCTATCTATCTATCTATCTATCTATCTGTCTATCTGTCTATCTGTCTATCTATCTATCTATCTATCTGTCTATCTATCTCTGTCTGTGTCTCTAGGCCTTTTGTCATCATTAATGTATTAATTGTACAGCGCTACGGAATCTGATGGCATTGTAAATGTAATGTAAATAATAATAATAATAATAATAATAATAATAATACATTCTGATAAATCCTGCTAATGCAGATTTTCCTGGGATCCTGCATCATGACAAGTCCCCTGTGATCTCTGACCTCTCACTACCTTCCTCTTGACCCTACAGTCTGCTTCAAAGGGAGCAGCTGACAATATCTGTCATTCTATTTCCTGTAATTAAGTACTCGTATCCCTGGGGTCCCCTCCATCCAATCTATCAAATAATCAGCACTTTCTGATACATTCAGCCTCTCTTTCAGCTCATTCACTGGAGCTCCTGGAGATATTAATCTGGAGATAAGTTACTTTGTCACATTCCTGATCTATTGGGATCTGTTTCAGGATAATGACGGCATAGCCTCACACAGGACACAGCGCAGTACAAATCTTAATCATTAAAGGTTCAATCTATAAAAAACAAAAATGTGTTAGAAAATCTCAACAAATGGATCTATGCTGTGACACCAGGTATAATGACCCACAATAGAAATCCCAAATGGCAGTGTTATAAAATGGAGAAATCTGCAAATCTTCTGATATAACCATTATGATTTAATTTGAAATGAGATATTATAAATGTATATGCTCACTGAGAAAGGACTCTGAATCTATCACTCTCAGTGGACACGGCGAGTTAATTACTGTAATTGATGCTCAGCCCTAAAAGGTATAAAAAATAGCTTTAAAATCATATTTACGTTCATCTTTAGATGGCATCATCCCATTATTATTATCACGGTTATTTATCCACATCGCGGTACCATATGTAACATGTAGTATGTTTTCACCCATTTAGTATTTTTGTCTGCATGTTTTCTTTGGGGTTCGCTGTCTGCAGCCTATGCCCTCCCCAACATTCAGTCTGTCCTAGGGATAACACCAATCAGAGGCGAGCAGTGATATATAAAATATAAAAGTGCAGAATTCTATTAAATTGTTTAAAATACGCTTTCCTCCTACTCGGAGACTCGGGACAACGGTGGGAGGGGGAATGCACTATTGATGCGATCATGTAACTGGCTCCACCCAGAAAGGGGCAGGTCTGGCCGATTTACTGCCAATCATGTAAGGCCAGCCCAATGAGTACAAAACCTGCAGGGGGCGCTGTTTCAGTCTCCCTACAGGGTCCTAGCGCCCTGAACATAGCACATGCATGTGTTGGGGACAGTTTCCTGGTACCCCCAAAATGGGACTAAGGCAGGATGGTGGGACAGGACCCGAAAACCGAGACAGATGGAAAACCTGAATATGACAAGCTCCAAAAACATAAAGTAGGAAAGAAAACTGCCGGCCTTTGTGTGTAGTGAGTTCCTTTAAGAAAGATTTGAGAGCAAAGGCCGTACATTCATTTACATTGAAGTCATTGCATAATTATACAACGAATGAATTCAATTTAAATTAATTACATACACCGGTACCAATGTAAAGGAGAGCCTAGTCTAACATGTAGCATTTGTAAAAAGTCTACAAATGCACAGCAAGATTGCCAATGAGCTAACAATCGAAACTATTAGCTTTTAATGTTCAGTATTAGCCATCATCGTGCCCATACTGGTGGGAGAGTCACTTGGAGCTGAACAAGCCATAGAATGAGAAAACCTCTTCGTCATTAACTGCATGGAGAAAGGGGTGTGACTGGCACATACCGGCTAGTCCTAATCTTCAGGGTGTTCTAGAGGGTACACAGCCGACACTTTGGCCAGTTTTTAACATAACTGCAGCCCATATAGTAGAGCCATTATTTGTTGGTCACTTTAAACTGACTCGGTTATCCAGAAAGCAGTGAATTGGTGGGAATTGACCAGGGGATGGCCAAAACATATTTCCCATTTTATTTAATTTATTAAATCCACTGTTTGGACCTAAAAATATATTATTATTATTATTATTATTATTTATATAGTGCAAACAAATTCCGCAGCGCTTTACAATGGGTGGACGAACTGACATGTAGTTGTTACCAGACAAGTTGGACACACAGGAACAGAGGGGTTGAGGGCCCTGCTCAATGAGCTTACATGCTAGAGGGAGTGGGGTAAAATGACACAAAAAGGTAAGGATAGTATTAGACTAATGACAGTTGCAGAAGAGGAATCAGTCGGGAGTTATTAACAGTTTAATTGATATGATTTTATGAAGAAGTGGGTTATTAACAATTTTTTTGAAGGAGTGGAGACTGGGTGAGCATCTAACGGAGGAGGGAAGCGAGTTCCACAGGAACGGTGCAGCCCTTGAGAAATCTTGAAGGCTAAAATCAGAGGTGGGAGTATGGACAGAAGATAGACGTAAGTCTTCAGCAGATCGTAAGGGCCTAGACGGGACATACTTGTGTATTAGGGAGGATAGTTAGGTGGGAGCAGCATTATGTAGAGATTTGAAAGCAAGAACCAGAATTTTAAATTGCGCTCTATATCTTACAGGAAGCCAATGTAGGGACTGACAGAAGGGTGAGGCATGGGAGGTGCGGGAGGACAGGAAGATGAGCCTCGCCGCCGCATTCATTATTGACTGTAACGGCGCAAGTTAGGAGCACATAAGACCACGGAAAAGCGAATTACAGCAGTCAAGGCAAGAAAGGACAGTGGAATGGACCAGTACCTTAATCGCATCTGGCGTTAAGTAGGGGCGGGTGCACTCAATGTTTTTAAGATGAAAACATAGAAACATAGAATGTGACGGCAGATAAGAACCATTCGCCCATCTAGTCTGCCCAATTTTCTAAATACTTTCATTGGTCCCTGGCCTTATCTTATAGTTAGGATAGCCTTATGCCTATCCCACACATGCTTAAACTCCTTTACTGTGTTAACCTCTACCACTTCAGCTGGAAGGCTATTCCATGCATCCACTACCCTCTCAGTAAAGTAATACTTCCTGATATTATTTTTAAACCTTTGTCCCTCTAATTTAAGACTATGTCCTCTTGTTGTGGTAGTTTTTCTTCTTTTAAATATAGTCTCCTCCTTTACTGTGTTGATTCCCTTTATATATTTAAATGTTTCTATCATATCCCCCCTGTCTCGTCTTTCCTCCAAGCTATACATGTTAAGCTCCTTTAACCTTTCCTGGTAAGTTTTATCCCGCAATCCATGAACCAGTTTAGTAGCCCTTCTCTGAACCCTCTCTAAGGTATCAATATCCTTCTGAAGATACGGTCTCCAGTACTGTGTACAATACTCCAAGTGAGGTCTCACCAGTGTTCTGTACAATGGCATGAGCACTTCCCTCTTTCTACTGCTAATACCTCTCCCTATACAACCAAGCATTCTGCTAGCATTTCCTGCTGCTCTATTACATTGTCTGCCTACCTTTAAGTCATCAGAAATAATCACCCCTAAATCCCTTTCCTCATATGTTGAGGTTAGGACTCTATCAAATATTCTGTACTCTGCCCTTGGGTTTTTACGTCCAAGATGCATTATCTTGCACTTATCCACATTAAATGTCAGTTGCCACAATTCTGACCATGTTTCTAGTTTACCTAAATCATTTGCCATTTGGCTTATCCCTCCTGGAACATCAACCCTGTTACATATCTTTGTATCATCAGCAAAAAGACATACCTTACCATCAAGACCATCTGCAATATCACTAATAAAAATATTAAAGAGAATGGGTCCAAGTCAGGGCCAGACTGGGAAGAAAATTCAGCCCGGGCATTTTTTAATTACAGCGGCCCACTAAAAAGGGGACGGGGCCAGATAGGGTGTGTTTTGTCATCACCAATGACAAGCACGCCCCATCACAAAGTGAGCATGTCGGTTCAATGCTCTTCCAGGGTAGACCATGCGCAGAGCTCTGCTGAAGAGCTCTGGCATGAGAAAAATACCCTGTATTTGTTCTGCACAGCGCAAACAAATTTAATAACATGCTTGCACTGTGTTTGCTTGAAATTTGTCTCTGGTGTCTCCATAGTTGGGATACCAGGAGACAAAAATGCCAGGAAAGCATATTGCGCAGTGTGTGTGGGGGTGCTCTGTGTGTGTGTGTGTAAGGGGTGTAGTGTGTGTGAGAGAGGGGTGCAGTGTGTGTAAATGATGGGTGCTGTGTTTGTGTGAGGGTGCTATGTGGGTAAGGATGCTGTGTGTGTGATGGGTGCAGTGTGTGTGTGCTGTGTGTGAGTGGGTGCTGTGTTTGCGTGAGGGTGCTACGTGCATGTGTGGAAGCTGTGTGTGAGGGTGCAGTGTATGCATGTGAGGAAGCTGTGAGCATTTTGTGTGTGCTGTGAGTGTCAGACGTGCAGTGTGTGAGTGTGTGTGTGTGATGTGCGTGTCAGGGGTGCCGTGTGTGTGCTGTGCATGTCAGGGGTGCAGTGTGTGTGTTAGGGTGCTGTGCATGTCAGGGGTGCAGTGTGTGTGTGAGGGTGCTGTGAGTGTTAGGGGTGCATTTTGTGTGTGCTGTGTCAGATGTGCAGTGTGTGTGTGAGGGTGCTGTGAGTGTTAGGGGTGCATTTTGTGTGTGCTGTGAGTGTCAGGTGTGCAGTGTGTGTGTGTGTGTGTGCTGTGAGTGTCAGGGGTGCATTTTGTGTGTGCTGTGAGTGTCAGACGTGCAGTGTGTGTGTGAGGATGCTGTGAGTGTTAGGGGTGCAGTGTGTGTGCTGTGAGTGTTAGGGGTGCAGGGTATCTGTAAGTGAGGCTGCTGTGACATGAGTGATTATATCCCCCCTCCCTGCTTACCTTATGCCTGGGAGGGGGGATCCTGCTGCTGGGGCTGCCATCCATCCCTGGTGGTCCTAGTGGTGAGTGGCAACGCTCCGAATCTCGCGAGAGGAACCCGGCGGAGCTGTGAGTTAAAGCTCCGCCAGGTTCCTCTACTGGCAGGCAGGCTCCCTCCCTCTCTCCCCGCCGGCGGCCGGAATATCCTGCATGTGGGCCGGTGAGGGAGATCTTTGATCTCCCCACCGGCCCGCTGTAGACTACTGCAGGGCCGGCGCTCGGATAGTGCCGGCACTGCAAAGACCGGCAGGGGAGATCCTGTGATCTCCCTGCCGGCCTCGGCCCCATGGCCACTGCGGCCCACCGGGCATTTGCCCGGTGTGCCCTATGGCCAGTCCAGGCCTGGTCCAAGTACAGATCCCTGAGGTACCCCACTGGTGACAAGTAACTACAACCCTCTGTTGCCTGTCACTCAGCCACTGCCTTACCCATTCAACAATATTGGAATCCAAACTTAAAGATTGCAGTTTATTGATAAGTGGCAGTGGCAGAATTTGGCGATAGACTGAACATAAGGGGTGAAGGCGAGGTCAGAGTCAAAGAGAACACCTAGGCAGCGAGCCTGCGTGGTGGAGCTGATGGTAGCACCATTAACTTGGAGGGAGACAGACACAGGAGTAGCAACACTTGAGGGAGGAAAGACCAGAATTTCAGTTTTGGTCAAGTTGGCAGCCATCCAATCAGAAATAGCAGAGATGTAGTCAGAGACTGTGACGAAGCGCCCTGTAACCTGGCCGGGTACCTCCACCAAGGACCGTTACCTAGCTGGAACAGGGGACAAACCACAGCATTTCTACCCACAGTCACTGTGGCTTGACTGGAGCACTGGATGAATTGCGATCATCTACTGACCCCCCCTTCCTAGGCTATTCATTGAGTGTTAGATTAGAGGAAGTGGGGAAGCCAGGAAGACAAGTGCTCAATTAATTGGTTGAAAGGTACATTGAGAAAATATACAATTCCTGGTAAAATTTCCACAATTCCCAGCTGAGAAAGTACCTCTGAATGAAATAAAATGGCAGCTGATTCTTAAACGTTCTTTATTGCTCTTTTCAGACACTATCATGATTGGATTTAAGTGTTTTTGGAGATTTACAGAGAAACCATGGCCGCCATTCACTAACCTTACAGAGAAATAGCTGACATGATTTGTTAGTTTACACTCTATTCTTTTACTTAATAGCTCTCACATTTTCTTATGGTGGGAGGAATCTACTACTTGGTTTACTCAGAGATAAATATCTCCAGTTTGGCTATTCTGGGTTGGCCGCTAATGGGCCACAACCCTCTGTTTTGTAAATTAATTCCTGTATAAGACTGCGCAGAGTCTGCAAATCTCATGTTCCCATAGTCCCGCTCCTGCTATGTATTGGAAATCCTGCATTGTTTGACTGGACTCAATTGGCCCAATTCTTGAGTACCGAGCATCTTGCCCTCGCTCTACAATGGTGGTTTCAGGAAACAAGAGGTCAGACTGAGTAATGTCTCTGCCCTTTATTGCCATAGTTAACATCCAAAACAAACACGGCGTGTAGCAATGATATCAGCCTGCTGTGCACATTCCCACGCGTCAGCTATGCGGATACCGTGATGTGACTCTTGAAGCACCCATCAAAATGCGTTATTATCAAGCCTCAAAATCCAAACCCATTGCTATTACTGGCATGCACACAGCATGATGAACACTAAACTTGTTATTCTTTAAAGGAACACAATTTAATTTTACATCATAAACACCCAACAGGTTTGGAAAACAGCCTTGGGAGCTGCTCGGAATTGGTGGGGCTGTTTGTTAAAACCTGACTTCCCACGTGGTTGAAACCACCCAGTTCTGCTGCTGAAGGTGTATCATTATTGATGTCTTGGGCTGATCGAGATTTCAAACCCTTACTGGACATTAATCCAAATTTGTCTATATTAGATCTTACTGACAGAGACACGTATTGAAACAAAATGTGAGACAGCGTCAATTATTTGTTATGTTCTAATGGTGATTCTGTTTTTGAGCCCAGAGCACAACTTGTGTTTTAACGACATAGATTATTGATGTGTCCTGTTGCTTATTCGCACCATTGAGTAAAATGTTCGAGATGAGCGTCGTGCTGTGACCATAAGAGACTCAAGATATAAAGAATTTTGTTCTAATTTTTTGCTTATTATTGAAAGAAAACAAACTATATAAGAAAAGAACAAACGAGTTGTAGTCACAATTAGAAAGGAATGGATTAGGCGGTAAACAAAATTGCCTTAGAAGAGTAGAGCCAAGAAGTGTCCAATATAGGGGAAAGAGAAAAAAATGATGCCAACATCCACATTTGCAGAAGAGGAGATAAATTGCATGTTTCACGCTGAAGGGAAGTGGGGAAGGTTACATTGCGACTATAATCACAAGACGTTGTGGTTATAACATAACACAAACATCACATTATCACGCAATATAATATAATATAATGGGTGTAAAACAGTCACGGCTATTTACTAAAATGTCAGTTGTTGGGAATTCATAGTAAATTCAAGGTCAGTTGCAAATTTTCTGTTAAAACAGGCAAATCAATTTTTGTTTGCAAAAAAATAAAAAATTAAATTCACTTTGAATTCAACTCAAAACGCACAGTGAATAAATGTGTTGGGACGAGAGGCTGGTTTCATCGTAAATGACTAAGTGCTGTGAATTTACCATGATACTATGTGAATCTGCCCAATCATCATGAAATTCTGAGAATCTGTCCAGAGATTTATTTATTCCGATACCCAGCGAGTAATCTATAATGTAGGTTCTGGATATGTAACAAATCTCGCCATTGGATTTCTATAATTGTATTAACGTCTGGCACTCTAAAGGTTAAATTGTGGAACAGCTTGTGAGTCTGAGTGTACCTGTGCCACCTTTCCAAGTAATCTGTTCGTGTGACATGCAGATCCCATAGCGGTTTCTGTTTACAACGAGTCAAGTATTTAAGTGGAGCACAATTAAGAAGAAGACAATGAGCTATTATTCTGGGTCCATAACTTCTGGCTTAGACATGAACATTGAGCAATTGAAGACAACACCCTCTCTCTCTGCGGAACACAAAGAATGTTGGATGCTGAAGAAACAGGTGGGTAGACATGAAAGAGGTGAGAGGATGGAGTTGGTTTTTGCTCTGAGTTCCTGTCTGGGGTTTTTTTTTTTTGTCTATTATCCAGCTGGAAAAGATAAAAACAGAAAAACTAATAATCTTCATTCCAGGGTGAGGTTTAAAAAAATTATATAATTGCAAAAAATACATGGGCACCTTACGTATGAATATCTAATCCTTTCTTAATACATCCAAACACACAAAGAAAGCTAAGAACCTCTGGAGGACAATTAGTAAGCAGTGACACAATGTTCCATCGGGAGAAAGTTCTGTGGACTCGACAAGTCAACAATCATCAGAGAAAAGATTGAGATACCATACAAGGAAATAAAAGTTATACACGGCCTTGTATACCTCTATACCTCACACATTCCTACATAATTGGCGCTTTATAGAAAATATTATTATGGTAGGACTAACGATCTCCCCCCCCCCCCAGGCCACTAGCACATTGGGTTGGCACCAATCTCTGCTGGGATGTCTGTTGGCGCGATACTGCAGGAGTGAGGCCTTGGACTAGTAGCCTGCAATATCCAGGCATGGCCCATGAGGATATTTCCAAGGAGATACTGTATCAGGGGCTGAGTGTGATGTGTGTGTGTGTAAATGGGCAATGGTTGAGATTTATTCTCATGCTGCGTGCGTCATATTTATGGTTGTAGTGATAGAACAGCTGAAAACTTAATGATTACAGATAATCTGCTGCCACACCCTTACTCCTTAGGGAGCCCACCTGCTAATATCATTCACAATATAACGATCTGAAACCTTCCTGTAGTCCATCCGTAGTCCATCCTTCAGATATATGTCACTTGATGTCAGGATTTTGTGAACACACATTAGCTCTTATCTGCACCCGTTTTGGTCCTGTAAGCCACGCAGGGAATTAAAGATGGCTGTCCCCATAGTACCAGGGTAAACCAGAAAATGCTCTAAAAAGTGCTATTTACTTCCATAATAATACACACAGAGACTGTAATAAGTGTAAGCTTTTATTTTACATACGAATAGCTAATGACAGTTTCACTCTAAGGCTGCTTTTATCAGAAAGCCTGTTTCTCTGAAACCATCAAACACATTGGGCTAGAGGGAGGAGAATTACAATTGCACGTCACAGTAAATAACTAGCGTGCTCTTGTCTCTGTATATAAACATTTGCTTCTTTGCCCAATCCAATCAGACCTTCTAACTCTCAGAAAGCCCGGTTGGGTTATTATGTCCCTTTAAATCACTGTCCTTGGGATATGACAGAAAGCATGCAATGACGCCTGCGTGGGGCGAAGGGTGGATGTTTCATGTCATCAGGGTCCGCGCTGGGATAATTGCTCTTGAGAGGTGTGATTGCACCAGAGTGGGGGTAATCAGACGCTGATTTTCATGTTAGATCCCAGCTCGTCTGAGAGAAGCATTTGGCACAGAGCTGTGGAGAATTACACTCAAAGCTTAGTATCCCTTTTCAAATATAAACAGCAGCCAATT